TCTCAACATTGAGGCCATTGAGCTTATGAAATTTTTTCTTGGAATTCTTAAAGTTCTACAAGAATTGGTAATTCAAAAATTTCCTTAGATGTTTATGAATTTTTAACTGTTAAGACAAAATCTCTTGTTTTTTTTCTGGTAGAGATGACTAAATTAAAAGGTATTCTCAAATAACTACTGTAATCCAAAAATTGAAAGATGAACAAAAAGAATCTTGACAGCATAGAAATTTAGAAACCCATTTCCCGATTATTCTTAAATCAAAGAGAAGGTAACAAACATTGCAACTTTTTACAAAGCAATGAAATGAGGCACATCGTACCTAAGCCTAGAGGTTTTAGTAAAAGCTGCTATAACTAGAGTCCTAATGCCTATAAGACAAGGTTAAAATGAAGAAGCTAGAAGTTAGAAAAGCAAAAGTTAGAAAGTTAGAAAAACAAAAAAACCAAAATAACCAAGAAAGAAGGAAGAGGAAAATAGAGATTTAAGATGTTACTTATGAATAAGAAAATAGAAATTAAAAAAAATACTACAGAAGATAGATAAATACTAATCTGACTTTTGGAACTGTGCATTACCATTAAAGCTGGTAAATCCTTTAGATTCTATTAAGAAAAATGGTAGACTAAAGTATTGAAAATGACCAAAGAGTAGCACATACATATTTGTTGAATCATGAATTGATAGAAAGGGAACTATGTGCTGGGCATTGTACTGAGCACCTTATTTTAATCTTCACTAAACCCTTTGAGATGGGTGTTACTTTTATCCTCATTTTATATGTGGAGAATCTGAGGCTTAGAGAGATTAGAAGGAGTAAGTAATATGTGCAAGACTACACAGCTGGAATCAAACCCAGGCATTTTAACTCTAACATCTTTCCTAACCGGTAGTTGGAGATGGTGGTTCATATTTTCTTTGTTATAGTTCTAATCGGAAACCCCAGTGTGGGTTCTATAAATCTCCTTTCTAAGAATTCTGTGTAGTTTAAAGTACCTTTTAGGTAAAGAATTTTTCCAGGAAAATTTCTACTGGATGACATCAAAATTTTAAGAAGTTTGTTGTTGCAAACGTGTAGAAGAATTTTCTGGGTAAACATCTGGAAGCATGGGGAAACAAATATCTGATGATGGTGAACTTGAACTTTTTCAGCCTCAATGGTCTGTGGTTCCTCTGGTTAACAGGAGGAATTTGGTAGAGAGGACTCTAAATTAAAAGGCATTCTCAGACAACTATAGTAATCTGAAAATCAATAGATGACCAAAGAATCTTGACTATATGCAAAATCTGGCCATGTCCTGGAGGGATATTAACAACTGGTGGGGATTTCAGTAACATGCATTCTTCAACATTGGATTTTTTCCTCTACTAAGTAGTCTTTTAAGACTACAGAACAGACTAAGATTTAGTGAGAGAAAAAATAATCCCACGGCCATGGATGAGAGTTTCAACTAGAAAGACTTTTTCCTAAAACCATATTATTTTTCTCTTCACACTTAATCTGCTCATTGCCTTGAACGTGGACAGTTTCCAAATCTATTCAGCTGTCTGCTTTTTTTTCTTGTTAATGCAGACCATGAAAATGATATCTAAATCTAAATTCTATTAACACCACAAATAAAAATGATAAACTCTATCATCACAGCTTATAAATCCTTTCAGGGGAAGGTATTGTATTTTAAGTTATGCAGACACAAATTCCTAATATTTAAATAAGAATATTCTCCTTGGTTCCAGCATTTCAGAACACTTTTTGATAAAAGAAATGGTGTTACAATATAGAAGTAAAGTAAAATAATTTTGGAAGTTATATAGGATCTATTCCTTGGTCAGCTGTCAGTGACCAACTAGCCTCAATGAAGGGAAGGATCCCAAGGAACACTGTGGAGGGCAGTGAAACACTTAAAGCAAATAGTAAAAGGAATTAATCAGTTACTAATAGGGTAGGAAATAGCATGGGTGTTAAGTCAAACATCTGATTAAGTAATTACTGAGTTAACAAAAAGTATTTAAGAAACTATTTTAGAGAAAGACTTTCACTGTAATTTAAGCTATTTATGTCAAATACTTGTCTTGATTTTCCTTATGCACTTGAAATGCTTGGCAAGAACTGGCACATAGTAGGTTCTCAAATATTTGCTTGAAGGAAGAAAAATATACTTACTTACACTAGTGAGATGTGTTAATGCAGAGCAAACATTTTAGAGCTAAGGCAGAAAGGATTTTCTCTATTTGTTGGTGTCTGCTGAGAACCAAAGCATATAATAAAATTAGTTGGTTTTTTTCCTCAGGACTCTTGAGTGGCTGTATGGAAAGGCACAGATATAATCATGGGTTAGAAATTCTTTACAACAGTAATGAAACCAATAAAATTGGAAGATTAAAAGAGATTCATTTCTAAAGTATTACAGTGGACTTTGTTAACTTAATTGAATTATTTAAGTCTAATCTCTTCTAAGTTAGTGACAAAAAGCTTCTTTTTATGACATTGTCTTGGAAATCATTTAGACCACCATGACATAAAAGGCTATGGAAGTATTTTTTCAGGCCTGAGGACATTTAAATCTAAGTTCTGTTTTGTGGATTATAGATTTTTTTTAAGGGCAAGTAAATGTTCCTCTTAATTTTCTTGCAATATGTAAAATTCAAATCACCTGGGCATTAATCACTAGAGATTCACTTCAGTTATAACCCTAAAGTTGTGCCATGGAAAAAGAATGGGTTGATAGCGGGGGTGACTAGAGTTTTTGAAACCTAAATGTCACATTGCATTTGATTATTAATTCAAAATATTTTTAGCTGAGTTCTCCATAATCAGAGCTCATCAGACTATTGACTATATTCAAGAGCTAAGTAATTAAAAGGAAGAAGTCAACATCACAAGTTAAATTTACAGAGAAGTCATTATTATTTTGTTAATAGCTTCTGTGACTTCCTAGGCTATAACTTTTGAATCACACAGTCGTGTACCTATTGACTTGCTAGAACTTTTCAAGTAAATGTATTTTCTAACAAACTTTGGATATAGATAGGATCAGTTTCAGGTGATATTATTGGAATATTTTGTCCTTGAAAGGAAATCTTAGCCAAAAAAAACAATAATTCAACATCTGACTTATTTGACCTTAAAAATGTTACTTCAATGAATGATTTTAAAGTTTTAAATAGGAAACATTGTTTTTACACATTTACAATTTATAATTTAAAGCACATTGGAAAGGATTGGGATAAAGTACCGTGGACAAAATTCGCATTTAATAAACTGCTTGAAGTTTTACTATGTATGTTGGCATCTACATAATTTGCTTTCAGTGACTATAATCTTTTCAGAGGGTCCAATGGATGGGTTTTAACTTTAACTTTAATGAAGATAGTTTGGAGAAAATAATCCAGAGGAATTGTGCTTTTTAGCCCCTTCAAGCAAAATCCAAGAATCTTTGCTCTGACCCATCTACCTATTTAAAGAGTTTGCTTAATGAAAGGTTATGTCAAGACCATCATGAGCTAAGTCTGAAGGCCAATTAAGGCTTGGTGAAAGGAAAATCTTTTTACCAAAATTGATGTCCAATTAGCATGGGTCTGTTTGATATAGGTCAGGTAAAAATCTAGGTTCATTGATTGTTTTTTCTTTAATTTATTATTTAAATGTTTTTTTTGAAATTAGGAAAGTTATATATGCTCACTGTTACCAGTGAAAAATGAAAGAGATGAATGGAGACAGAGGTTATTTTTCCCCCCTACTCTTTTCCCTCGTTAATCAATGTTAATGGCAGCAGGTGTATCATTCTACAAGTTCTGCTTTCTTGTATGGAAGTATGAGTACATGTCAAAAATGTGTGTTTTATTAATGTTTGTTTCTATAAAAATGCATCACATTAAATATATTACTCTGAAATTTAATTTTTCATGTAACAATATGAATAGATCTGTCAAGACAGTCGATACAGATGTAACCACATATCAGAATCACGCATCAGAACTGGATGACTTGTTAGGACACATTACCAGGCCCCATCCTCAGACATTCCCATAGGTCTGGAGTGGGGTCAAATATGCATTTCTAACAAGTTCCTAGGTGATGCTGAGACTACTGGGCCAAGGGCCAGACTTTAAGAGCCACTGGTTTAGCCTATTCTTCTGGATAGAAGTGGATTCCTGCATAGAGTAGAAGTGTTGTGATTTATCCAACCATTTCCCCTGTTGGTGGCCCTTTATTTTTTCTTATTTTGCCATAATAAAATATTGCTGCAATAGACATTTTGCTCATATAACACAAAGATTTTTATGTCTATAGTATAGGTTCCCAAATTGAGATTAGTGGGTCAAAGGTGGTGTTTACAATTTTAACAGCTTTTGCCTGATTAATTCCCAAAAGCGGTTATTACATATTACTAATTACTACATAAAGATTATATATCCCTGTTTCCTCATCAGCACTGTATTGTCACTGTATTATTATTTCTTTATGAGATGAGTGAAAAAATGGCATCTCATTGTTGTTTTAACTTACATTCCCCTAAGCCCCAAGAGGTTAAGAGAATTCTTGTATGTTTATTAACCATTAGGATTCCCTCTTTGTCCATTGTCCCTTTAGTTACTTTTCTTTTTCCTAATTATTTCTAGAGATTTTTTTTAATATAAAGAATATTAACCCTTAATATGGCAAGCGTTGAAAATATTTCTCTCAGTCTCTCCCTTCACTTTTAACTCTGTTTATGATATGACTGGCATGAAAAATCTGTAATTTTTATGTAATGAAATATTACATAGGTAGTGCCTTTAGGTCTTCTATCTTATTTAAGAGACTTGTATAATGCAAGGTTATACAAATATTCTTCTAAAGTTTCTTATAATGTTTTAACTATTTTATATTTTGCATTTAAATGATTATTGTATCTGGAATTAATTTTAAAATATCATGTGAAATTGGGCTATACTGTCAGCCCTCCCCCCTTTTCAGGGAATGGGGGCATTTTTCTCTCCTATGTAATTCTTTCTAGGCTTTCCACATCACTAGGCCCACGTGCAACAAGTAAGCAGGCATAGTCTTTCTGGAAGAGGAGCACGGGCACCTGCTTGCTAATTTCCCTCACTACCAAGAAACCTGAATCATCACCAGAGACCCCAAACATAGGTAAGACCTAGCCCCTGGGTCTAGCCCCTTAGCTTAGGACAGACACAAAAGAGAATGGTTTCTAATTGATTCTTGGTCCCTAAAGACACATTAGAGGTGTTCTATGTCCTGCATTCCATGCCTCCCATCCAAATACAGTATTACTTAGAAAGGATGTTTGGAGCAAATTAAGGAGTCTGTGTTCAAGCTGTCCTATCTCAGAATACAAACATTACACAATTAATGCAAGTTTATACTCACTGGGGACAAATTAGTAAATAGAGATTAGCAAGAAGAAAGCAGGAAAAATCACCCACATTTCAACCACCCAGAGACAAACACTTTGAGCCTCTGGGTGTATATCTGTTCAGATTATGTAACTAACTAAATAAATAACAGACAAGTAAGTAGATAAATGTAAAAATATTACTTTCCATGCTGTTTTTAATTTCCTCCCCTACCTTTTGGACATTTGGATTGCTGCCAATTCTTTGATGTCCTACATACTTTGAGATAAACATCACTTTTGTTACACTTTTGTGAAGATTTACTATTATTTCTTTGATACAAATTCCTAGAGTGGTAGTTGCATGATCAAAGTATACGTTCATATTTAAAATGTTTCCAAATTGCCCTCCAGGAAAATTTTAAAGTTTATACTCCTACCAGCCACGCATGAGAATGCCCATCAGTTCATAACTTTGCAGAAAAAAGTTTGCATGACTAAACACAAACCCCATTTCTTTTTAAAAAACACTACTTGGTAGATATTTCATTATTTGGATGCTCAGGTTTGATTTTTCTTTTTGGTGAAAAGGTATTGCAGTTTCCTGCTCTTAGGAGTATGTTTCATATTGGAGTGAACTACTTCCCCCTTCTCCAGGACTGGACTTATGTGAACACATCAATATATATTATATTCTCATCCTCTAAGACTAAGCAAGTGACCCAAGCTGCATTGTATCAACTTTGGGAAGTTACTACAATGAGAGAAAAGAAGTTCTCTCTTTCAATCGTCACTGACTCTTCATCTATCTTTCCCTAGGATTTTGAAAACAACAAAGTAGATGAGAGCAGAGAAAAGGAGGGACAGATGCACAATGGGAGACAAAGAAAGAACAAAAGGGACAGGAGGGGCACGATACATCTGGCTGTGCCTGAAGCAAGAACTACTGTTGGATTTTTTACTAACATGAGCCAATCACTTCCGTTGGTGAGTGTACCTTCCTTTTACTCCTTTTAAAAGGCACTGATATGGCTATTGGTTTTATATTTTATAATCATTATTTGATTATCTAGAATGTATTTTTAAGCTTTACCAGTAAAAAGTCTTTGTTAGTTATTACAAATAATTCGAAAGCAAATAAATATGTATTTGTGGTTTTCTCAGCCTTTACTATTATCAAATATTTACTATTCCAAACAGGTACACACCTGTAGGTAGGTCATTTGTCTCCTTGATAGAGTACACAACAGAGATAAGAGAAGACTTTTGTTCCCATTCCTTCCCCACCCTTGAGTTTTGGCTATTGTACTAGCAATCTAATGGTGACGAGTGATTTGGGTTCCCTGGTCACCTCATTAATCACATTAATGATGTCAGACACCAAAAAGAAAGTAGAGAAATCACTTGCCTTATCATCTAATGTCTTTTCATTAGAGATCTGGTCAAGGGATTTTAAAGACATTGACATTGACAATTAATAGGCAGTTGATACTAATTCTGCTGAAAGCAATAATGAAGCAGCCAGATTCCAAACAAGCTAGCAGTAACCTGGTGGGACCTCAGATGAGAAGGTGTTGGAATCTTTTAAAATTCAGTTTACTTTTTGCTTGGATGGACTTGCTTTAATTCAAGGGTAGTGAGAGTGGGCCGAGTTTGGGGAGGAGACATATTAGGTTTCAATTCTTTATCAATGTTTTAATTATCTTTCAGGGGAGCTCCCTAGCAGGTTGGAGGACAAGATTATTGTTTGAAAAGATAACCATTAACTCTGGAATAATATTTATTTGCACAGCTCATTCCTAGGCTTGATGGGACTTCCAAATTTATTATTAGAGCTAATATGGAAAGAGGGTCATAGCTATTGCAGAAATGACCAAGGGTCACATCCCCAGATAAGATTAATAGCTTAATGATAAAGAGAAGTTGACAACCATGCTGAAGTATAGAACATCTTCTCTGATGGATTCCAACAAGACATGGAAACTTTGGCTGAGTGAGGCATGAGGCAGATAAGGTATAGACTTGGTTGCATTTGATTAGAGACAGATGAGTACAGAAGTGTTACAGCATATCTCAGTGTAGCACTAATAAAGTGCTGGGAGCCAGTTGTCAACGACGGTATACAGCCCCCACTGAAATGTGTAAAAATGTACTACACATGCCTTTAATTTTATTCACCCATGGGGATAGCAAGCAATAACACAGTAAGACACTGGGGTTGTTTTAACCATTTTCTAATTACATTTGACCCTTAAACAACAGGGATCCACTTACATGTGGATTTTTTTAATATAAATACAGCACAGTACAATAAATGTATTTTATCCTCCTCATGATTTCTTAATATTTTCTTTTTTAAGCTTACTTTATTATAAGAATACAGTATGTAATACAGATAGCATGCAAACTATGTGTTAATTGATTGTTTATGTTACTGCTAAAGCTTCCAGTCAACAATAGGCTATTAGTTAAGTTTTGGGGTGTCAAAACTTACATGCAGATTTTCAACTATAGAGGAGAGGGGGGCATTGGCAGCTCTAACTCCAGTGTTGTTCAAGCATCACCTGTATATTGATCAGCATTTGGTTAAATTGTATTTTGTATCCTATTCTAACAAAGTGTTCATGATATGTCAAGTACTGTATTAGGCACATAACCAGTACTGAAGAAACAAAATCTTTAATTTTTCTTCCTTGGAAAACCCCTGTACTCTTAATTCACTCATTTCTTAACAAATACTCTAGACATTCTTATAGAAAATAAGAATCTAACAATAAACATGATATATAAGTTTCCTGTCTCCATAGAATGTATATTCTTCTAGGGATAAAAAGACAATACACAAATAAGCTAGATTTTCAGATAGGAATAAGAAATGTGAAAAACAGAGAGAGTTACCTAGGGTATGGGGTTAGTTTAGATTGTTCAGTTAAAAACATCATTCTGAAAAGTTTAACATCTGAGCTGAAATAAGAAAGTAACTCTGTAAGAAGGAGTAACCTTGTGAAATCTGGGTGAAGGAAGCACATTTCACGTAGAGGAAAGTGAGTGTAAAGTCAGAAGAGTTGAAGTTTTGAATGCATGGTTGTAGGATAGGAACCTCAAGAGACAGGTGTGTCCAGTTTATTCAGTCTATGGCAAGGAGATTACACTCAATTCTTAGCATAATTTATCTACTTCATGGTAGTCCTTTCATTTCTTTAAAATAGAGATAACATTATGAAAAATAATCCAATATTTTTCTTATAAGTGTTCTGTCAGATTATATTTTCAGCTGAGAAATGTAGGTCTATTTGGATGAATCTAATTATATCCTTTATCACATCACAGAGGTAAAATGCACGAGAGTATTGGTAACACAACTTAATCACCAGTTAACAGGCATTAGTTGTTCACATTGACTTTTTTTTTTTTTAATCTCTTTCAGACTTTAACCATCTATACAAAATCACAGAAGACTGGCATATGGAGGTTAACCCAAGGGATTTGGGGAGAACTTTCTCCTCCATTAAAATTTTGAGAAAGATATTTTGGTTTCTGGAAATTTCTGGAAAAGTCCTCAAAGTTATTATTTCCATACTATACCTCAGGGTTCTTTCCTAACTTTTTAAGATGGATTGAGAACTAAGAGACAGAATCCTTTCCTAAGAATCTGAAGAAAAGCCACCTCACACCGTCTTTCTGAATGTCATGTTTTCCCACATTGAGTTCCAGCACAGATCTCTTGGACATCCAGTAAGAGTAAATAAGTTCTAATATCTTGTCATCCCTTTAAAGGATAGAATACTCCTTAACAGCCAATAAACACACTTTGTAGTGCTTCCTTAGGTGCTTAGTTTGGGAGGTCAAGACCTGATCATTGTCAAATGTTCTTTTGAAGTGATTTTAGATACTATATATAGACACTATATATATGTATATGTATATTATAGATACTATATATATGTATCTAGTCAGGGTTTGAATAATCAAGGGTAACAAATTTTGTTTCTTTTGTTCTCTTTGTTTGAAGAAATGCAAAAAATGAGTTGGTGTTAGCTGTGCAGCTTGAACCATCCACCCCCTAGGAAGAATTTACATGTTTAAGTATTGGATTGGTTGGTAGTGCTTTTAAAATATGTGTGTTTGGCTCTGCCACTATCTCAAGGAATAGCAGCTGCCTTTAAATGAAAGGCCTAATGCTTTTTTGACTAATACCGTAACACCCCATGGAAATCCCCATGAGTCCCTTTGATGGAGCCTTTCGTGCCATTCAGTGTATTCTCTTGCCCTATTTCCCAGGATGGAAATTTGACCTATACTGCATCCAGGAGCCTAACACTGCCACAGAAAGGTTTTCAAATGCTCTTCAAGTACTATGCAGATAACCAGAGGATAGGTGGAGCTATGTGCTACAACATTTTTACTTACCTGAGTGATAGGACTTAGAGGTAGAAGGTGCTGACAATAGACAGTGTAGTTAAATATCCATAACTCCCCAGGACTATGACTGAATAGTGCTGGCATAGAGTAGAACCGAAAGGATTAACACAGAGAACTGTGTCTTGATAATTCCTTTTTTAGGGGAACCTTAGTGTATGGCAAACCTTGCTACAGCTTTTGTCCAAGAAGTGATGCCAGGCTGATAGGAAAGCTAGTTTTACTAAACTAGTACTAGTTTACTAATAGAGCTTTGTAGTTTCCCTGTAGCCTAACCTAGTAGCTTGGGCAAGCTATGTTTAAGCCATTGACATTCGTAAGCTCTGTAAGTAATATCTGCATAATTTTATTTATGGTTAGAGGTGGAGAGACCGAAAAGGTAACAGCTCACCTTTCCCCAGCCCTCCAGTTTGAACATACTGTCTCCAGGTATGTGGCTAGTGATGTAAGGATAAATTCCTCTATTGGAATATCTGAGTTATTATTCCAAGGAAAATCAAGAAGCAGAGTTGTGTCTAGATAAATAATGGAAATATGTGTTTTCTTAATTTTCTTTTGTGTATCTTTGTTTTGCAATTTTTCCAAGATGAGTGTGGATTACGTTTCAGATTAAAAAAAAAGTTGTATTTAAAATTAAGTTCAAGGTTTTCTAGCAACAGTTTCAGCTCCTGTCTCTTACTCTGCTTCTTTCCTCAAAGGATTGCAAATGCAAGGATTTCAATACCTTATCTACTCGTTTAAAAACATTCTTGAGATCCATCGCAAGTAGCAGCTGTTATAAGAACTTTTTACTCCCTTAAACACCTAATCCCCTGTGACACATTCCATTTATCCTCCTTTTGTGGTGACTACAGCTTTAGCTGCCCCATGTGGGGAGACTTGCTGGTTTTATTTCGTTGCTCTGGATTGCTGCTCTTAGATTGCTGAAAAATGAACTTATTCTATAGCACTCAGTCTGTCGTGTTGCTCCTTTCTGAAGTTACTGTTCTGAATTATTCCCTGTGTCCAGGATAACTCTTTGTCTACTCAGTATATGTCTTCTCTTTTACTTTGTACCTGCCGACCATTTTATATTGGCAATTTGTGCAGGTCTATGCTAAAAATCTTCTTTGAATAGCACATCTTCCATGCTTTGAACTCCTCTAATCAAAACTTGCTGTTTAAAATTCTGCCTGTGATTTTGCTTCTGCTTAACTGTGGACACCTTTGGCATAGTTATTCTTTCTAGCTAATGAAAATTTGGGCTAAAGAAGGGATCTTTTTATTTCCCATTAAAAATGCATTTGTCAAAATTATTAGTTTTGGAATATCAGATTTCAAAGGGAGTTCAGAGACCATCTGCTCAAATCATCTCATTTGTCAGATTGAGAAAAACGAGCCTCAGACCTCAGACATATGGGGACCAGACTAAAACTAGAATCCAGATCGCTGGTTGTCTTCTTACCATATCTGGTCTACTTTACTCTCAATGGAAAATGTAATTTTCATATCCTAATGTTTAAAACAAAGAAATAAATGTAAGGGATGAAATTCTTGATTCATCAGAGGGACTTCGGTTGCAAACAACAAAAACTGATTCTAGCCAATGTGGGCAAAAGGGAATTTGCTGAAAGATCATGAGAGGCTCACTTAATTCCTTAGCACAGGTTTTCAAAATGAGAAGTGATTAGGAGACCTCAGAAGGAGAAACAGCATGTTCATCCATCAAGATGCCTTCAGTGTTCCCCTCAGCTTGATGAAATATCAAACAGGTTTTTTCCTGACTATGGGCCCCTAAGATCCCTTTTCTTAGAGTATTTACTTTAGAAAATTTGCAACTATAAATTCTTTCTTTGCTCCATTGAGATATAAATCTTCTCTCAGACTTCTCCTGGTTTTACAACCCAAAAGTGTCTTTCATAAGGACCTGGGAGCCACCCCTTGCAAATGCAGCCATCAAAAAAGATAGGGCCCTTGTCTTGTTTCTGTGGGAGGGTAGGAGCCTAATTTCAATAAATGCTAATTAGTAAACACAGATGCCCTTCAAGATTTGTTCAGTGTCTGAGTAATGTCAAGAATCCAAGCACTTTCTTTTTTTTTTCTTCCAAAATTTTATTTAAATTCAAGTTATTTAACATACAGTGTAGTAATGGTTACAGTAGTGATTCATCACTTACATAAGACACCCAGTGCTCTTCATGAGCGCCCTTAATGCCCATCACCCACTTAGCTCATCACCCTACCCACCTCCCCTCTAGTAACCCTCAGTTTGTTCTCTGTTTTTAAGAGTCTCTTATGGTGTGCCTCCCTCTCTGTTTTTATCTTATTTTATATTTCCTTCCCTTCCCCTACGTTCATTCCACATGAGTGAAATCATTTGGTAGTTGTCTTTCTCTGACTTATTTCACTTAGCATAATACACTCTAGCTTCATCCATGTTGTTGCAGATGGCAACATTTCATTCTTTTTGAAATATATATCTATATCTATGTCTATGTCTATGTCATCTATATCTATATCTATACCTATATCTATATCTATACCTAATCTATATCTATCTGTCTTCTTTATCATTCATCAGTCACTGGACATTTGGGCTCTTTCCATAAGTTGAAGCCAGGCACTTTCTATCTTTTGCTTTACCTTTCTTGACCTGTTTGCTTACCATCTAAAATTTACTAATAGCTACACAATGGCTATACAATGGCTGCTAAATGTCCATGTATCACATTTCTGCTCAAAAGCAGGAGGCAGGGCAGTGGCTAGAACAGCCAAGAGAACTACCTCTTTCCTTTTATCTGTGAAGGGTAGATTGCTATTCCAGAGGCCCCTAGCATATTTCCTCTAATGTTTTATTCACTAGGCATGGTTCACATGCCTGTTTAGTGGCAAAGACAGGGGAATTAGAAAAAAAATAATGATTTTAATTCCTTAGCAATGGATTAGAAAAATAAATATTCATTCCTCTCCCCCAGGCTTAGAAGAGAAGCCTACTTTCCTCAAGTACATTGTTGGCCATCTGATACCTAAACAGAAGCGTATCACTGTTGGTCAGGGAGAAGGGTGAGAAAGGCAGTTATGTAGATAATCAACAGTATATGCTACAACATACCTTTGAGTATGTAGAGCCACTCTGTGGGTTTAGATCTGGATGATGAAGAAGAGAAGGCTGAAACAAGGACTCTCCTAAGAGGAACAGACAGATAGAAACTGCATTGGACACAAGAAACCTTATGAAAGTAGTGATAGAGAGGGCTGGGGAGGTCTCAAAAAAGCCCTAGAAGGCTCCAAAATATTTTGCCGAGCACTGTTGACTGTTAAGTTTGTGGAGGGAGATATGACAATGTATGTTAAATGTATTAAATTTTTATATACAATTTTGCATTGGTTCAGAAATTTGACTTTATTTTTTATTTTCTCTTATTTATTTTGAGAGAGAGAGAGAGAGAGAGAGAGCGAGAGAGAGAGAGAGAGCATGCAAGTGGGGATTGGGTGGAGAGAGAAAATCCCAGGCAGGCTCTGTGCTGTCTGTGCAGAGCCCAAAGTGGGGCTCAGTCCCATGAACCATGAGATCATGACCTGAGCTGAAATCAAGAGTTGGACGCTTAACCAACTGAGCCACTCAGGTGCCCCCAGATATTTTACTTTTAAAATATATTTTTTTTGTATTTTACACTAGGGAAACAACCAGCTATTCATGTAAAGATTTACATACTAGCATGTTTATCACAGCATTATTTATAATTATGTAAACCTGGAAATAGGCAAAATGTGCAATGGCAGGGAGTTTTATGAATAAATCAAAAGTTTCTGTCTTTGAAGGATATTTAATGATTTGAAGGATATTAAAGAAGGCTATAAAGAAGGATATTTCTCCTGTGTAAGAAAGCAGGTTTCCAAAATGATATTTGCATGGTAAAAACATAGCATCTATGAGGGGTCATCCTTTTGACATACTGGAATTGCTGTAAATTTTTCATGTTCTTTATACTTTTTGGGTCTTTTATAAAATGTATACAATGTTTATGAAATAAATTCTATGAAAGATATCTCTTCAGTTTTGCCTAGGGTAGAACTGGAACCCAATGTTGATTTCAGATACAGACTCTGTGGTCAGCCCTCCAAGTTTG